GGGTGCACGCCGCTGTCCCGTTCCGTTAAACTCAACAAAGAAGGGATATGCGTGTTCCTAACAAGTGCAGAATATTTAATTGATTCATAAACGTATGTATAATAGTTTGTGGGTTTTTTTTTAAAAACGTACTTTATAATGTAATAAGCACCAGGGTTTTTATGTTTAATTATCTTAAAAATAATTTTCTCTCGTCCTTTTCCTTTTGATCTTGTGTTGGTTTTCTTTTCAATGTCGAGGTGTTTTTTTAAATATAAAATGTGAACGTTTTCTTCAGCCCTCCCACCGAAACGGAACGACAAAACAAATTAAAACCCCAGATTATCCTCGTCAACGCAGGAAAACGGCAAAAAACCAACCAACCAACCAACCAAACAAACAAACAAAAAAACCCAGAAAACTATCAAAAAAAAAAAAAAGGAAAAGAAAAAAAAAAAAAGGAAAAACACTCAGCTTTCATCCCCGCTAAGGGCAGGGCAGGCCCAGTTCTTTTAGCGTCCCCAGAGCCGCGAGGACATTACAACAAAAATAGAATTTTTTTCTTAATCTCTTAACATACAAAGATAGGAAAACTCTCTGATGCATTGCACTTGGTTCAATGAAAACAAAACAAAAAAATGTTAATTTCCCCTATATTTTTTGTGGGTTGTTTCCTCTCCTAACACGTCCCCACATCTGTCGCCCTCATCGTCCCTAGCCTGTCCCTCACAACACCACTTGGGAAAGGAGCGCACCCCCACCCCACCCCGGTGGTCCTCCCGGGGGTACCTCGCCCGGCACCTTGGGCCCCCGGCCCAGCTGGCCTGCAGCTTCTGACCTTGCCCGGGGCGTGTGCCCCGCAAACCCACAGCTCCGGCAGCCCGACTGTCTTCGACCAACCGAAGAGGCGCACGCGGCTGGGCAGGGACCCTCTCATTAGCTCTTAGCTCTGACCCTGTTTAGCCAACCGAACTGAAAAAAATCATTGCACTTTGACCGCGCGTCATGCCCGGGCCGATCGGCCCCCCACCCTGGGGCTCCCTCTCCTTGCACAGGGAGCCCCCCCCCCGCGGGATCTCCACCCGGGCCCTCGACGCCACAGGGGAGGGCTTCACTCAATTTGCATACAGCGCACCTGCCTAGACAGCCGGCTCTCAGCCCCAAGCTCCCTGCACGCGGCCATTCGCCTGCTCAAGGCCGCAGCCTCACCAACTAGATTCTCAATAAATAAAGCCCACAGCCCACCCCCACGTGGTGCAATGTTGGACTGACTTTTCGGAGGATCCTGACCTGTGCTTTGTGTTTTCATACGGGAGAGGCGCAAGGCCTTGAGAATGGGCCTGGGAAGGGAGATGCAGGGAAGGAGGACTAAGGCACAGAAAGACAAGCCAGAGGGGTCCAGTCACCCTGGAGGGGGGCTGGTGTGCTCGCGTTCCCCTCCCTCCCAGGGGGCTTCTCAAGACCCTCTGGACAAGCCTCCACCATCCTTTGCAGGAGGAGGGGACTGGGAGGAGAGCTGCTTCCTGTGGTGTGTTACGAAATTGTTCCCAAGTTGCTCAAACAGAGGAGGAGTTCCCAACTGCAACAGCGAAAGACCCAAACAATGACTGCCCCACCCCTAAATAAAGAGAGGAAAGACATTACAGCTAAAATCTAGGGAGAAGTGGCCATGGGTGTGATGGGAAGGGAAGGGGACCAGAAAGCTCCAGAACGCTCTTTTAAAAGGATGACACCCTCCACCCTCCACAGGAACTGAAAGTCTTGAGAGCAGGATGCCTACCTAGCGCAGGTGGAGGCTGCCTTGTCCTCCTCGCTCGGCTCCAGGGCCCTTTCTGCTCCACTTTCAGCCGGCCCCCGGAGGGCTGTGCGCGGCAGGGGCAGGGGCAGGGCAGAGGGGCGGAGCGAGGGCACCTGCATGCAGTGCTGGGGTGCGGGGCGACCTGGGGCCGACTCCCTTCACTAGAGGCGTGGCAGAGGGCAGCCCTTGCGGCCTGCGGGGATGGAAGAGGGTGCCTGTGCCGGGCTGAGCGTCCAGTCCAGAGCATTTTGACTTGTTCCTGTGTGCTGTACAGAGGGGGTCCAGCCCGAGAACTGCCCGTGCGGTTCAGAGTGCGGTGGCAGAACACCCTCCATTCTGGCCTCAACGCTGAATTCAGCTAGCGCCAAGGAACATCCCCTGCCCACCCCGGGGCAATCCTCGCCTGGTCCAGAGCAGCTGGGGACAGAAGCCTGAGCAGAGGCTCCCAGGAAGGGCGAGAGGGAGAGGAGGGAGGGGCGAAGTCCAGAGGTGAGCTCCAATGTCTACTCCCACCATCTTTAGGAGCTGTTCCTCGGGTTCCTAGGGAAGCTTAAGTCCAGCGGAGGGTGGGGTTCCCAAGAACCGCAGGGGTGGCAGGCCAGCGAACTGGCTGCTCCTTCCCGGGAAAGGAAGGCCAGGCTGGGTGAGAGGAAGGCAGTCTTGTTGCATCCTTTCTGTTTGTCCTTTGCTTAGCAGAATCCGCTTAGCATGCTTCTTTCTGCTTGGCTGCTGGTGTACAGCTCCGCTGAGACCCCTTCCGAGGGCTCCCAGAAATGGGCTGCTTTGGACCGCAGGGGTACCCGGGCTGGAGGAGGGAAGGGCTGAGTGGCTGACGACGTCTAAGTTTTGCTTTTCGGTGGGGCTGGGCTGGGGGATATTTCCATGTCTCAAAATTTCTTCTCCCCCCTTTTGAGGAACCTCTCTCTCTCTCTCTCTCTCTTTTTTTTTAATTTTGTTGTTTCTTTGTTGATGTTATTCAGAGGAACCAGGACTGAAACGGGACCAGGGGGAAAAAAAAGTCGACAATGAGAACAGCTGGGCAAGTCCCAGCCCCCATCTCACCCCCACCTGGCTCTATGATCCCCAACCTCTACAGTGAGCTCAAGAGGAGGAGCCAGGGTGCTGGGCAACTGACCCTCATTCTGCCCACCCTCTGAGGGAATCCCCCCCCAGACCCAATCCCCAGTGCAAGAGTCCAGCTGGCCTTCCCGTGGGCACTGTGCCCAGCGGGTGGGACCCCCATGGCTGGCACTGGCAAAGACCTGGGATCTGGCCATGTTTGCAATTGTTTAGGTTTTGTGTGGGACCTGGAAGGTGGGGAGGATGCCAGGCTGGGGCTTTTGTACCCACAGGGGTTGGGGGAGTAGGATGGGGTGGCCCAGCTTGAGTTCTTGCTGAGTTTTCTTTTCTGTCTCTTTGGATTAAAAGCAGAAATTCACGTCTGTACATCCCAGCCAACGTCCTGTCCCTCACGCTGAAAGGCTGGGGGCAGGGAACCACATGGCTTCAGTTCCTACGGGGCCAGGCCTGGGGGAGGGGGCCAGAGCCCACCCACCCAGAGCAATCCTGGGCCTTCAGGGAATAAGACTGGGGAAAGAGCCTGAAGCTCCCTGCGATGGGCATTGCTTGTCCCAGGAAGCCAGCAGGGGGCGCTGCTTTCCCATATATAGGGCCCTTCCGACAGAGAACACTCCGAACACACAGGGTGGACCCCTGGGGCTGGCTGCTTGGCAACGCCCTCCATCAAAGGCTCCACTCTGATTTCCTGCCCAGGGGGGAGTGGAGGACTCTTCTCCAGACCTGTTCGCTTGCTTAGGTTATACCTGGCAGTACCTTCACAACAAAATGAGGATCCCTGATGTTGTAACTGGGGGCATCTTGCAGCTGTGTCACCGACTTGTGTCTACAGGACCAGATAGTGCCAGCTGCAGATCATACACACCAGATACTGCCTCATTCTATCCTTGTCCCAAGCCCACACTGATTCGAGGTACACACAGGATGGGTGACCTTGACTTGCTTGAGGTCATAACCCTCAGATGACTCAATGGAACTCTGATTTGGGGAGTGGTTAAGAGCTGTGCCCCCCTTTACTGCATGTGCAGCAATCATGAGGAGGCAGGGGTGGCTGGGAATGCCTGTGCTCTGCTTAGAGTCACCCTGCTAGGTTAGGGTGAAGGCACCAGGCAGCTGCAGGGGCCAGCTTTTCAAAAAAGCCAGAAACATAAAATTTTCCCAATATTTAAAATACTACTAGAGCCAGGCATGTGGTTCATGACTTTAATCCCAGTAGGCGGATGTCTGTCATCTGGAGGCCAGCCTGGTCTACATAGTGAGTTCCAGCAGAACTAGGGTTACATTAAGACACCCTGTCTCACACACACACACACACACACACACACACACACACACACACACTACTGGCAGATTGGTGGCTTTTGATTGTAATCTCAGCATTTAGGAGACAGAGGCAGGAAGTTTGTTGGGAATTTGAAGACACTCAGGACTTCGCAGAGAGTGCCAGGCCAGCATAGGCTAAGGAGCAAGATCCCGTCTCATACCTCAGACACACAAAAAGTACTATTGGATCCAGGTATGCTGAAACCTGCTAGTAATTCCAACACCCAGGAGGCTGATGGAAGGGGATCAAGGTTGAAGCCAACCTATATTACAGAGAGATCCTGGCTCAAAAACAAAACAAAAATAGAAAACACACCACTATTTGGCTGGGGTGTAGCCTTGCCTAGCATGTCTGAAGCTCTGGGCTCAAACTATTAAAAAACAAAACCATTAATATTCCAATATTGGTCAGGTCATGCTAGACCCCGTCCCTCGAACTCTGGTTTGGGCTGCAATAAGTGCCCCCTGTGAAATAGAGATACTAAATACAAGAATTAGCAATGTAGTCAGAGAACCAGTGTCTTGCTCCTTTAGTCCCAGCATACAAGCCATGTGACCTAAATTTAACCCCTAAGCCTACATAAGGGTGGAAGGAGAGAATCGCCTGAATGAAGCCCATCTATGCAAAACACACACACACACACACACACACACACACACACACAAATAAAATTAAAGCTTGAGCTTCATATATCCTCTAGAATTTTCTGTGGCAATGGAATCTCACTGATAGCATGGTTTATAAGCATGAACACTTGAAACGGGGACTGTGGAATAAGGTGTGGAGATTGAACCTAGGCTATTAATGTTAGGTGAGAGTGCTTCCACAGAATTCTCTCTCCAGCCCCAACTTTTCTCTAATCAATTTCAATGCACAACACTACATGTGGCCTGTGGTCAGGACAATAGAATCTCAAAGGATGGACATCTGGGAATGTGGGTACTCAGCTGGCTAGTGATGCAGACTGCTTTCTGGGTGCTAGGAAGGATGTGCACAGGAGGGCTGCCTCCCTCTCTGAGTTCTCAGGCAGCTGCCCAAAGCCCAACTAACTAAAAAGTCCATTCACAAAAAATTCAGGTAAGGGCTTGGGAAGCTGAGCTGGAAGCCAGGTGGAGCATCCTTCCAGAGTGATGTCAGTCAGTGGAGCCCTGAGCTTCTAGCTCTGCTATTCTCTGGGAACCAAGGGATGGCTAACATGGGCTCCTACACCACTGCTCCAGGCCAGGGAGGCCACCCCTCCTCAGCTTCCCTAACAGACACAGGTGAATGGAGGACACCCGGAACATGGGAGCCCCCATACCAAGGTCCAAACTGGCCCCTTGAAGTTTCCTTTACTGTGCAGCTTTATAGTCTCAAGAGTGGGGGCTCCCTAGAGGATGAAGACTCCAGTTTCAGGCCTAGAATGGGGACTTAGTAGTGCCTCCACACAGGCCACAGCAGCAGGGGTCTGTTGTCAAGCCCAGACTGCTTTTTCTGCTTACCCCCTTCTTGCTTCCCAAGCCAGACCCAAAACTGATTAAAATGAAGTAAAAAGCACTGTTTAGGGAATGATAAAATTGCTAAAATTTTCTTTTCTTCCCTCTTCTATTGTTCTGTCTCCATCTGGTGCTCCAAGGATCAGCTAAAGTCACTGGTTACTGTGGAAACCACTCCTGATTGTCCCCTTACAGCCGCCTGCCTGCCCCCAGGCCCAAGGGCTTCTGCTTTGGGGTATCTAACTTTCCTTTCCCCACAATCCCCAGACACACCTGCCTGGTCAAGGCTAGAACTCATTTCCCCTCCTGCAATGTAAAGCAGTGAGGAAGAAAGAGACAAATTGTTTCCCAAACTTGCCTCAAACTCTGACTTACTTGGCCTCAAAACATCCAAGTAAAGTGAGCAGAGAAAGTGAAGAAGGCGAGAGAGAGAGAGAGAGAGAGAGAGAGAGAGAGAGAGAGAGAGAGAGAGAGAGAGAGAGAGAGAGGCTGGCTCTCAGCAGCAGTGGAGCGAGCACACTGCACTGTAGAGCAGGAGTGGCAGGAGGGGGAGAGGGAGGGAGCAATGAAGCCCTGCTCCTGGTGCCAGCCCAGAGCTGGGAGGGGAGGCCGCCTGCTGTCCCTTCCTCTGGCACCCCCTCCCACCTTCTGCCAGCAGGGCTTTCTCGGCCTCCCTGGCACAGAGCAGAGGGGGCTGGCTCCAGACCCTGCTCAGAGCCATTGTTTTTCTTCTCAACACCCCCAAGTTCAAGTTCATCTGGGTGTTACATCATGTCTGGTTGCTCCTGGAAACCAGACGGGTCAGACGTGACTCTGGGGAAAGGGGGTGGGAGGCTGGAGGGGGCTGAAGTTCCTTTCTCCTCCCCTCCTCACCACTAGGGAGCTCTGAAGTTTGAAGTTTGACTAAGTTGTGTGTGTGTGTGTGTGTGTGTGTGTGTGTGTGTGTATGTTAAAGGAAAAGAAAAAAGGGGGGGGGGGGGAGCCGGCAGGGGGGGCCCTGAAGCTGTGAGGGGGGGTGGATTTCCCAGGGCTGAGGAAGCCGGCAAGGAAGTGTTTTTTTTTTTTTTTTTCTTTAATAACATGAACAAAAAGAAGAATATTTGTGTGCCTTTTCTGAAAACCCTGGCCCGGCAGCTGCCCCTGACCTGTTCCTGACGTGGGCTCTCCCCCTAAGTTCCAAGGGCCTTGGGTTCTGCCTGCTATTCTCACCCTTTCTAGATACAGGCACATGAGGGACATCCATGAGTGCACATGTACACATGCATTCTCAAGGCAGTCTGGGGACCTCGTGCTGGAGGGCAAGTTTGGCTTGTCTCCTTTTGGGAAGTAGGGTGGTGTCAGTGGGGGTTGAGGGCTCCAGCAGTCTGACTTTCCTCTTAATGGGACTTATGAGGACCTAGGGGAGGGGCCTCTAGGGCAGTAGTCAGCCCTGCCCTCGATGCCAGTCTCTGGGCATGCTGCCCACCAGACGTCCTTTGTCCCTCCCCACCTTCCTCCAGCCCATCCAGTGCCAGGGAGATGGGGAAGGCCGAGGCTTACTTGAGCTGGCCACAGTAGAAGGAGACCCAGGGATAGGACTGCCTTCCTAGTCAGTGCCTGGGACTTCCCTCTGTGCTCTGCTAAGATGGCCCAGAGGTCTCTGCCTCTCTCAGGTCCAGGGCTGTCAGAACTAATTATCCAATTAGCTGATTAGCCAGGGAGCCTGAGGCTGCCTAGGGAGGCTGCTCAGCTGGGCAGAAGCCTGGGCATGCAACTCACTAGGAACAGCCCTCGGCAGGCCATGCATCCTGAGGTGTGCCCCCATCTGCCCTTCTACCCGCACCGGGGCATCTCCTACCTGAGACTGCTGTGGGATGTTCAGAAAGTTGCCGTCCCGGGGTCCGATGCCGACAAACCGGTTGGCAGAGGAGGCGCCTGTCGTTGTGAATGCTGTGGGGGAACAGGGGGGTGAGGAGAGAGGGAAAGACCAGGTCAGGCTATGAGGCCCACCTGGGCACTGCCCATCTGGGCAGCTGAGAAAGGGAGAGGCTAGGTTAGAGTGCTGCAGGGGGGCTGGCAGTAGGAAGGATGAGTGAGGGGCTATAGTTTGGGAGGCCAGGCTGCAAGCCCTTCTGCTCACTGATCAGGAGCACACATGTACCCTCCTGCCTCAGCCTGTCAAGGCTGAGATAAGGAAGGGCCCTTGAGGCTGCAGCTGAAGTCCCTAGGGCCTAGTCCTGTCCCCTACTGAGACCATGGTTAGCATTAGGTTCACCAGTGGAGGCCCTGGCTTCCTACTTGTAGAGGGGCAGTTTGAAGGTGGGAGCTGGGCAGCCTGGACCAGCCTGTCTGGGCATGGTCCTCTCATCCAGGTCAGCTCTCCAGCCCCACAGCCTCACTGAGGGCTGCAGCACTTACCACCTTGGGCAGTCCCACCAGTTAGCAAGTGGCTTAGGAACTCACAGGGGTTCAGTGGAAAACTAAACCAGCAAGAGTGGTCACAAAAGAACCCGTGGCCTGGCTGCCAGGGGCATGCTGTGGCAGAAACACCAAGAACCATGCTACTATCTGCCAGCAATACATCAGGCCAGGTGACAAAGGAAGAGGCCATAGACAGAGCCCCAAAGCTCAGCCACCTGGGGGTCGGCTGTCCAGTGCCCTAGGGAACAAATGAATCCAACACCCGTGAGCTCTTCTGGGGTATTCAACTGAACCTGACAATTGGGAAGCAGTCCCCAGAGGAAAACGGAGTGTCACAGTTCACCTGGGAAGCTCACTCCTGCCCTATACCAGACACATTTGGGACATGCTCACCAGATTCTGTCCCCTCTCCAGAAGTGAGCTCCAGCCTGGCTCCCTCCCCCACCCTGCCCACCTCCAGTGACTATGATCATGTCTAATGGCATATGCAAATGAGGAGATGACATGGAGAGGGCAGGGAGGGGGAGAGAAGGAGAAACAGAGAGCTCAAACGGACAGGAGTGTTGACATGGGCCACCCTCCCACACACTGCTGCCCAGTTCCAGCTCAGATTCCTGCCCACCCCTGTGCCAGCCCAAGACAGCGCGCCGCCCGCCTTCCGCCTCTAGTGTCCTTCACGTCGGGTATAGCTGGGACCTCTCCACTTAAGAGTTTTCTTCTCTTCCCTTTGGCAACATTTATCATTGGATTTAAAGGAAAAAAGGAAGGAAGGAGAGAGAGGGGGGGTGGGAGGAAGAAAAAGAAAGATGAAGTAAGCTAGGGCCCAGTGCCCTCCCTTCTCCTTGGAACTTACAACCTGGGAAAGGAATTGAGAGAGAAGGGAAAGGATAGGAGGATGGGAAGAAGATAGAAAGGGGGGGGGAGGAACAACGAGAAACCATATGGGAAACTGAGGGAAGAAGGGGTTGGAAAAGCAGCCTCCTGCATCTTCAGAGGCCCAAGGGCCAGATGGAGGTGGGGGACAAGGCAAAAATAACATGGTGGTGGCATCACCTTGTGATCACATTTAATTCTTTTGGTGTGTGTAAGGGAACAACGAAACAACAACAACAAAAAAAATTGAAAATCAAAACCAAAAAATCAAGAAAAAAAAAAAACAACAAAAAACAAAAACAAAAGCAGCAATCAGGCATGAAGATGGCATGGCTGTGCCTCCCGCCCCCCCACCCGCGCCAGCCCCCCCGGCCCCCTGCCCCACTGCACTCTCCCTCCCGCCCCCCAGGGGGGCCTGGGCCAGGGCCTGGCTGGGAGCAGTGGGCAGGGCTCATGGGGTGCTGGCTGGTGTAACTGAGGCCCAGGAGGCCTTGGCCAGGGCTCAACCCTGCTCATCCGGTGGGAGGCTCTGAGGCGCTCTGGGTAGGGGCTTTGTTGGGAGGGGGCGCTCCTCTTTTTGCAGTGGAGACTGTGTAGATGGGCCAGGGATGCTGGGCGCTGTGGTTTCGGTTTCATCGTCCACTTACAAGGTGATGGAGGAGTCAAGGTGGCGCCGTCTGGGGCCGTGCTGGTGGTTTTGGAATCAGGCATAGGAAGGGGCACAGGTCTGGCCACTGGAGGCGGCGGCCAAAAATGACCCCGGGACTTTGCCCTGGCCGCTACCGTTGGGCTGCGAACAACATAAATAGAGTGACGCATGAAGGCACATCACACACAGACACACGCTCCCCTGCGCGGCCGGCCACTTGCTCCAGAGAGCAGGCGCTCCCGATGGAAGATGCAGGAGTGGGAGGGAGGGTCCTTTCCTCTAGGCACATGATGGAGGAGGTGTAAGGCCTCTATTTGGTCTCTTGGGTGTCTCTGTCTCTTTCTTTTTTCCTCTCTCTTATGAAGTAGTGGGAGGGAAGAAGGGGGGATGTCCGACGGGTGGTTCATCATTTCTTTCTTTCTTTTTTTATTTTTTATTTATTTTTTTGAGACGGGGTCTTTCTTAATGTGTAGCTCTGGCTGGCTTCAAACTCACCATGTAGACCAGACTGGCCTCAAAAACACAGAGATCCACCTGCCTCTGCCTCCCAAGGGCTGGATTTAAAGGTGTGAGCCACCATACCCAGCTAATTCGTTAATTCTTAAGCAAGATGTTCTAGGTACAGAAATGAACCACCTAGCAATGTACACTCTGCACCTAGAACAGTCGTGCTCCTGGAAAGAGAAGCCAGCTCACCTCCAAAGGCCTGGCTGGGGTTGGCTGCCTAGCCAAGCCCCACAGGCCCGCCAACATCCACCCCATGGGCAGCCTGGCCCAGGAAGCCATCAGCACTGAGACGCTCACCCTCCATCCATTCTATCTCCAGCAGATCCCGTTCTCAGCCTGTGAACAGTGGGGCGCTGGCCTTTTCTATAAAAATCAGCCATCGAGGAAAATATGCCATCGGTGGCTCCAACTTCTGTGTGGTTCTTCAAGAGTGATTCCCTGGATAACGTACACCCTCAGGAGTCAAGGACATGCTGCCACCAAGATTCATTCCTTCTCCTTTGTGCCTCAAACTTGCACTTCTCCGTCAGGCCTCATGCCTGATCGTGCCTGGGTCAGCTTCAAGGAGTCAGAGAAAGTACACACCACAGGCTCCCCAGCCACTGGCAGGGGGGGGA